GAGTCTAAATGGTTTTAGAAGAAAAAGGCATTTTTGTGTCCCCTGCCTTGAAAACAGAAGACTTTGGAAAGTAAAAGTTGCTATTGTGATGGAAAACAAAAGAAAACCAAATAAAGCATACAGCAGAGTTGGTGCTTTAAAACATCAAGTTGGATTTTAACTGTTTCGACTAGACTTTATCATAAAATCAAAAATAAATTGGCTATTGCCAATATAGGAGGATTACCAGAACCGCCTGCCATACCTGAGCGGCAAGCTCCATCCTCAGCATTACACCCAACCTCCCCCCGGGGGGCCTCTGCTCCACTCTGCCCAAACAGAACAGATCAGCACTCCTCACCCCAAACTGCCACATAACCCTATACTCCTGAAGAGCAGGTTTGCAGTCCCGTCTGTGGTTCAAACCAGGAACCTGGCCACATCCCCACCCCTACCTCCTGTCTCTTTAAGAATTCCTGCTGGGGTGTTCCTCCTCCTCCTCCTCCTCCTCCCCCACCCCTTCTATTCTCTTGGCTCCCCTGAGCATGGTCTTACTTTCCCAGTTCAAGTCTTCCTCTACTGCTCTGCCAAAAGAGCTTTCCAAAGAACATATCTGACCACTGTCACCTCTGGAAAAGCCCTCTGAAACTCCCCATCACCTGCAGAATGAGCCTCAGTCCACACACCTGGCAGACTTGAGCTGGGTGTCACACTGGTCTCCTCTGTGCACAGCAGGTGGGAGAAACTGCACTTCTCTGAACACAGCACACCTGCCCATAGCCACACCCCCAGAACTGCTGCTCTTCCCCAAGCCTGCCAGGCTCAGTCCCATGCCAAGGGAGGAAGCAGTCTGAAAGGGAACTGTTCCCTCTGGCCCTCTCCAGCTCTCTCCACCTGCACTCAAACAGCAACTGCTCTAGACCCTCATCAGTACACCTAAGACATGCCCTGGACATGCACCCCTGGAGGGCAGGGGCTAGGTTATTCATCTCTGAGGCCCCCTCTCCACCACTGAACAGAGGTCCAGCATGTAAGAGGGGATTCATGTGTGATCTCTGTAATGACTGAACGAAGCTGGTGGTGAAAACAAACCAAGTTCCCATGTGGTTATGATAAATACCAATTTGCGGCTAAGTGTGGTCAATATAGGAACAAAGGGTTCAGTTCTCCAAGCTTTTGTTTAAAAGAACTTTTGAGTCTAAACTTGCTTTTTACCTTTGAGACATTAAATTCCAAATGAAAGGATAGAAAGGAAACAGAACGGTGAAAAACGCAGCCAATTTAGCTACTTACTAACTGGTTTGGTAAGACTATTGGCAAGTGAGAACAAAACAGGAATCACTGGAATTTTCTTTTCTAACTTTTGCATTTAAGATACCTTGGCCAATTCTTCTGGTCCTGAGAATATCCTCCCAAGAGGGCTAGAGGTTCCATTCCAGATGTTAGGAACTATTTATTTGATAAGTTATCAATCAAATGAACCAAGGGGTCTAAACTGAAGACCAGTACTGAGCATTCATTGCTTCTGAAATTTAGTCCTTTGTTGAATATTGTGAATCTGGAAAATGTCTAAGTTCAAGAAAAGTTTATAAAGCAGAAAAAAAATTTAAATGACCTAATTATTTAAAGGACAAGTGCATTCATGTTCTACTCAATCCAGCTCTGCAGGAAGACAGGATGTCTCTGAACAACTTCTAAGACGACTGCTTTCACTGTAAAACAACTTATGTAAGGACCTTATTTCTGTCCTGCAGGCATTATAACACTAACCAAATTTTGTTAGAAAACTGGAAAGAGAGGCTTCATTATGAGGGTAAAGAAATTCCTAAATGTTAACTAAACCCAGCTTGGGAGAATTCCTACCAACTGGATAAGGCCTCTGAAAAAAGTAGGGGTTCTGTATTCTCACAGGCTAGATTTTGGTAGAAAAGCAAATGACACCGAACTGTTTTAACGTCATGTTCCTCCCTTGAATCATGTTCCATTAAGTGAATCTTAGCAAATTATGGAGCATTGTCAGAAATGTGGCATGAAAAGTTAACAGGATTCTTTTAAACTCATCTTTTTCTTAAATGGTTTTTGGTCACCTAAGTTTAGCTCTAAGAGCAACTTTTAGTATATTGTGCAGAGGCAAAATACATTTTAATATCCAAGTCCCTGAAGACAAGTATGTTAGGATAGCTCAGATCCACCAGGCTCTGAGCAGGGTCTGAACCACATCACTCAATTCCCAGAAGTGAAGTGGAGCCTCTCTTGGAGTGACAAGGAACACCCGAGAGGAGCACTGGAGCAAGTAGCAGATAGGTCACCAGTAAGGAGCAGCCAGGCAGGTGCGGCCAGCCACACGCATGCCCATGGATGGCAACTTCCTGAGACCTTCACCTTGAACCTTCCACAAACCTGACTTCGAGTCACCACTGATTAAGCACCTGAATATACAAGGCCCAAGTGTGCCACTGGGAAAATAGGCTGTGGTTTTGTTTCTAAGGTACATGAGCATGGCCCTTTGTGGTAGTGCTATTCCTGCTTCCAACTCCTGGGGGTGCTTAGGAACATTCTCTTAAGCTCTTTCCAGGTCACCTAAGCCAGGACATTTCTTAATGTGTGAAATGCTCTCTGTGGGTCACAGAGCAAGGCTGTTACCACTTTAGTCCTAGTTTTAATAAAATGTTCAATATTTCTTTGAAAATTGAAATTATAATGCATAAAAAACTTAAAAGGTAACTGCTTTTTGTTTTTAATAGGAGGAGAGATGTGACCGCTTCCCTGCTTTAGCGAATTCTTAGAATTATAAATAATGTTGTATCGAGGGGAAAATTGGGGTATGCACATACATTTTAAAACATTTCTTGTAGTAAATTTATGATCCCTGTGAAAATCTGCAAAGTATGCAATTCAGTATGTTTTTCCTGATCAAAGACTGAAGAACTAACCTATGTGTGTGCTGAAATATGATTTAAACCCAAAGGTAGCTTACCCCTCTAAATACAGGTAAGATGACTTTCTAAATCGAGGGGCCCTTTCTTAATTCAATTTCTAACCCCTCAAACCCTCGTCCCTGAAAACAAAGTCCTGCATGTAATGCACTCAGTTCCCTAGTAACATCTGCGAGAGATACGAGGCTAGTCAGAGTGTGACAGGTCCTACATGTATGAGGATTCCTCATGACCACACTTCTCAGCAAGTAGCTCAACCATGCACCTTTGCTTTCTGATGAAAACCTGGCACAGCAGATGGGGTTGCAGCTCAGTGGTGGAGCGCTTGCCTAGCACATGTGAAGCACTGGGTTTGATCCTTAGCACCACACACAGAAAATTAATAAAGTGTTTTGTCTATTTACAACTAAAGGAAAAACCAAATCTGCCACAGACTTCCTGTTTACGAGTTACATGAAAGCAGAACCCTCACATACTCCTAAATTGCATACATGACTTGAACCTGAGATCTATTTGAAGTCATTTTTTAAAATACCCTTTTTCAGAAAGTATAAGGGCTTTATCAATATGATCCCAAGAAAAACATGTCACCTCAAAATAAATAAGTACCCCACTGGCTAAAAGCAAACATTTATTAGTGTAACTTTTAGTTGAAATGAGAAACCACACACTTATCCATAAGTGCTGAAGCAAGTGTCTTCAGCCAATCTACAATTTCGAGAAGACAGCTGCACATGTATTAGTGTGGTGGGAGCGGGGGAAACATGCCGCGAATAGAAAATAAGGTCAGAAAAGGCATCTTGCCATGGGCCTCTGAAGGCAGGGTTTAGAGAACTTAGATGCAGCTAAAAGCACTGTTCATACACACATTTGTTTTGACTAAATCAGCTTCTAATCTTATTTTCTATTTCCAGAGTGTATTTATTAAAAGCGCAAATGTCAAGGGATCATCAACCAAAAAGAAAATTTTTTAATTAAAAAAAAAAAGTTAATGGGGGCAAGATCAAATTGGGTGAAAGCTTGAGGAGCTACTTTGAAGCAAACTTGGGGTGAAGGCACAGTACCGTACGAGGGCACTGAGTCTCGGGGGTCATTCTCTCCACATAACACCTGGCTGTCTGGACAAAGCAAAACGACAAAGCTTTCACTATCACATTTGAATTACCCTCCCCCCTCCCCTTCCCCAGCAACACCTGTGCGCCCACGGCAGCCCTGACTTACTATGATCAATGTAAAACGTCCGTCCATCCAGGTGAATTCTTTCTTCCCAACCAGGCTAACATCCAGGGAAGGGCAGGGGGGCGGGGAGAGAACACAAACATCAATCAGCGGCTCCAAATTCAGAGGCAACATTGGAAAACTATAGAACCCTTTCTTACCCTTCTCTTCTTGGGTACATCTTAACACGGAGAATAAATTAATTATAAACATTTCAGGTAAACTCCTGACCTCTAGCAATATGCCCATGTTCAACCATCTCAGATTCCTTGGTTGGGGGGTAGGTGGAAGGGGAGGAAATCTTGAAAACTCTAAGGGGAAGCATCAGCATGCCATGGGAGAGTTGGGCTGGAAGAGCTCATTTGGTTAAACAAATACTGAGTACTACAGGGAGGGAGAGGGAGGGCTAATATAAACACATTAGACACGGTGACTTCATTCATGTTATTAAGAGGCTGTGTCCTCTGCTGTGAACTCTCCTTATTCAAACTCAGGAGCTAAACGATTTGGATACTGTTTAAGATGAGGCTGGTAAGTGCTCATCCTTCCATCTGTCCCGATTTCCCATCTGAAACTCTGGAATCCAACAGATTCTGACAATGTACCTTGCAAACATTCTCCAGCCTCTTTGTCTCTGAACCCAGGAACCAAGTAGACGTGAACAGGGAGGGATATTGATAGTACTGAGAACAGACTGAATGCTAACTTTTGTAGCTTCAAACTTTGCCCCATCAGGTAGCGGGAAGGTTCTTAATGCTTGGAAAACAATAGTGAAGAAAAATCCCCTTTAAGAGAAAACAGTCTTAGCCTCCGAGCCTGCCCCGCTTCCAAGCTTTGGCAGGGCAGGCTGCTGGGGAGGATGCATGGGAAAGACTCACTCGGATTCCCATCTGGACCAAAGAACCCCACTCCCTCAAAGAGAACTTAAAAAAAAAAAATTAGACCTGTGAACAGCCACCAACAAGGGAGAAAAATCTTGAAGTATCTGTAGGTTAAATGACACATACAAACTTCCCGAGATGGCTTCTGCCTTTTCCTCTCACACCATTTTCATTTTATTCCCCATTAGCTAAAACAGAAATATGGGGGGAACTCACGGGCTGCTACGTTGTAAAATAAATGCCTGCTGCCTAAACCGTCACCTGTACTGAATGCTTCCTGCATACCTTAGTTTACAGTCTATCTGCCACTAGTGGCTGGCAATTCAGAAACTTCTTTCCCAAGTACTGAACACAGACCTGGAATGCACTAATAGAAACCCACCAAACACCCAATCCTATTCAGAAATGCAGGCCGATGGGACCCAGCGTGTATGGAGAAGGGGATGCTCTCAGGACCTCTCTTCCTCTACACCCAGTGGATGAATGAGGAAGAGGCTCAGACTGTTCCATGAGGCTCCAATGTACTTACAGGAAGAGGGCCCAGGTCGTTGGGGTTTAACGATGCCTTTGACCGCATGTGTACTGGGAACTTCAGGCGTGGATCTTCCTGCAGGAAAAATGTAAAGGGTGGGCAGTGTCAAGAGGGACTCCCTGGTGTGGTTACCAGCTCTCCTTGTCTTGAATTGGGCATTCCAAATCGACCAGGTTGCCTGTGCGTGGGCCACGGAAGGATCCCAGCTCTCTGCTCTGCACAGGAAGCCTGGCTGACCAGCTCCCACATGAGATTCTACTCTTCCTCCTTGTGCTTGGTGAAAGGAGAGGAAGAACACTTCAATAAAAGGTTCACTATATCCCAAGACTTTGAGAAGCCGAGGGGGAAGGCTGGCAGCAGTGATTCACCTTGGAAACCAGAGTGGAGGGAGCCAATGGTGACATGGCGCCACTTCAGAGAGGGAGGAGGACAAGGGCTGTGGATGTCCCTGTGGACCCTGACGTGGGAGGAACAGCAGTCCTGTGGGCCTGGCACCCTCCACTCCTTCCTGAGCTGTATAGATTCCGAATCTGGTCTGATGGGAAGTCCTGTGGCTATTCCAGAGACAGCCCGTTTCATCCGGTGAAGTCACAGGCCCCTCGCTTTGGAACTTTACCCAGATTCCCAACTGAGTTCTCCTGATTGGATTCTCATTCATGCTTTGGTATAAAAGCTTACAAGAGATTTTTCTTAAGGGATATGTTTCATGAGATACCACAGAAAAGAAATGTAGACCCTAAAACTTGAGCCGTGATCTACAAAGAATAGCGAGATGCACCATGTTGTAGCACCCCTGGTTGGGAGGCTGGTGCAGGGTCTATTGTTTCTTGAAGTGAGGAAACTGAGTGTTAGAACACTGACTTGCCCAAATATTATGCCTGGCATCTGGGAACTGCCTGATCAAAAGACGATGCATGCACAGACCACTTAAAATGTGATGTAACTCCGAGAATCCATGTCTTTTTTGGTGGGGAGGGCGGTACTGGGGATTGAACCCAGGGGTTCTTTATAACTGAGTTTCATCTCCAGCTATTCGTATTTTATTTTGAGATAGGGTCTTTCTAGGTTGCTGAAGCTAACCTCAAACTTGGGATCTTCCCACCTCAAGCCTCCGAAGTCACTGGGATTAATGAATGCGCCACCATGCTCAACTAAGGATCCATGTCTTTAAACTCAGACGATTAGAAAACGAGTGCTAAAACCCAGAATAATGCAGTGTCAATCAGAATAACATTATCAGCTCAGGATTAAAAATCAAATTTCTGAGACATCTGACATTAGATTCATTCAATTTTATCAAAGCATTTGCTGCTGTCAAATTATTAAAAAGGTTTTCTGCTTCAACAGTTTTCTGAGCCAACAATAAGTTATATTATCCCAGGATTGTAACCAAATGACAGATTTGGGAACTGGTAAAAATCAAGAGTTCACAAAAATTATAAAAAATTATAAAATTATATAAAATTATACAAAAATTATAGCTTTCTGTCAGCTATAGCAAACTTCTAATTGAGGAACCAATCTTTTAATGATTTATTTCATTTGTAATGAATGCTGACCCTGAATCATATATATATTTAAAGACTAAGAAATGACACAAAACCCACTATTCTACAGCATACTGGAATGCATGCAGAATAAACATATATACCAAACAGATGTGGGATTTAGAAGGTCCAAGAAGCTGGTAATCTGGTAAAATTATATGATTGGTTAATTGCAGACAGAGGAAAAACTTAAAGCATAGGACTCCACCAAAGCTGCCCAAACAGGTAAAGTCACAGCTTCCAAGGACTCTTTCGTGCCCATGTAGCCAATGACCATGCCAGGTGTAGAGCCAGACTCTTACACACAGGAGGTAGGGCTTCTGCATGCTGTACCAAGGCCAGTCACACCTTCCAAACACATGAAGTCAAGTGTGCAAGACAACTGGCTGGTGGTTTAGAGAAAAGGAGAAAGAAGCCGAGATTAAAGCAAATTCCAGTTGGTGGGGGGATTGGAGTGGAGCAAGAAGTGTAATATAAGCTTAGTTTCACAGTCTGCTAAACTGGCCTCGCATGGAAACCCAGACTTCTTGGGACGTGAGGGCCAGAGGGGTCATATTATTTCCCCAATAATCAAAATAATGGTAGTAGCTGTCAATGATCAAATCCTGAGGCTGTCTGGAAATCATCACAAAGCTGCTCTCCCACTGAGGCCTGGGGTCAGTAGGGACAGCTTCAGGGATGATAGGAAGGTGGAAGGCTAATGAGGTCTTGAATGATAAGAATACAAATGAATCAAATATGCAGACACACGAGCTGTTCATCCCTCTCCTTGGTAGTCAGGGATCTCTTTCATGTGTGAATTGTTTCTTCAATTCAATTGAAAGTGTTTTTAAATGGAATGCAAAGGTTCAGCATCTTCTCTTAAATCAGGGTTTACCCAAGTCTTAAAAATATCAGAGATGGGAGTCCTGGTTAGTTAAAAAAAAAAAAAAAAACAGCTGTGTTTTTCCTTCTTTCCTTCCTGGAAGAGACCATGCCTAGGCTACAATCAATTTTATTTGTTTGAACTTGGTAAGAAAACAAAGCTGAAACTTAACTAAGGTGTAATCTTTCTTGTTACAAAAACAAGCTGGTGCTTTGTGCCGTGAGAGGCATGGACATCCTTTTGTACTTAGACACTCTTTGAGCTGTTCCCTTAGCAGAGAACACCAGGTGAGGCCTCCTGGGCTGCCATCCGCCACTTAACGGCTTCTAGGACGCACTCCTTGCTACCTGACCCAGGTGGAGACAAGGCTATTCTTTCCTGTATTTTCTTTGTTTCCTTTTAAAATAGTTACGCATATTCCAAATGGACTGCCAGCAGGCTACCTTCATCATTGGTGTCTAGGAATGGCTGTTATAAAACACCCGAGGTGCACACAGGGAAGCCCTGGCCTGGATCTTCTGCTGCTTCTGGTTAGCACCAGAATCCGAAGTTCCCGGGCTAAAGGGGGGAGGAGTACTATTTTCATTATTATCAACTATCCTACCAGATTTTTTTCCTTCTCCCATCCTAATGGTCAAATCTAAGGAGGGCTGCACTGTCCTCCTATTTATTCTTTCAGAAAGTAAACAAACCAAATTTTAAGTCAGAAAATCATCTTTACTGAACCCTGCCCCTCTGTCCTTTGTTAAAATAGACAGGACACTCCGAGTGCGTCTTCTATACTGAGACTCTCTGGCTGTTCTTTGTTTAGAGATAATGCAGCCGGGTCAGCACACCTGGGTTTACGGGGAAGAAGGTGTCCCCTTAAGGATTTTGAACAGCAGCATCTGTGACAAAATGTTGTTCTAGCAATTTAAAATTTTAAATGAGTAAATTTGTCAATAACAGTTATCTGGGTAAAAAGGGGCAACTGGAAAGTAAAACTGGGTTTCATTCAGCAATGGTGGCAGCAATAAATAAGGATAGTACTATTTAAAATAAAATATGCCCAGCTGCAATTACACTGCAGTTGTGGCGTGAAAGGCTGTGAAAAGGTTAGGGGATTTGATTACTAAGCTAGTTCAAATTACTAAAATCATAGCTTATGTTGGCAAGTCACAGTGGCTCCAAACACGGATCCATCTGCTTTTATAATATTTACCCCACCCCCCCCATTCTGGAGCTCCAATTTCTGGCCAAGGATTTGAAATTATAGAAGCACTATAGGAAATGGGAACACCAGCAGATAGCCAGGGTTCTGTGTCAATGACAAAAAAGACCCAAATCCAATCTTCACTAGTCTGTTTTCCAAAGAGCTGCCTGTCTCTTATGCTCATCTGGCCCACAAACCTGTAATACTATCTTCAGACTAAAAGGTGAGTCAAACAAAACTCTGTGTCATTATATGCCTTAGACGCAGTTATCAGTTTACCAAATGAATGTCATCAGATCTCAATGATAAGTGCTCTTGGCAGGTGAGCAAATTCCCTGACTGCAAAACAGCAAGAGCTGTAAGAGCGGCTCTCACTGAAGACTGTTTGGAAATGTGTGGGGCATTTTTAGTTATCAGTATTTCGGGGGTGGGTGATGGCAGCTATTAGCTCTCAGTGTCAGGAGCCAAGGATGTTAGACATCTCACAGCAGAAGGCCCAGGCCTGCCTCGGTGCCAAGAATGCCCTCACAGGGACATACTGCACCACTCTGCATGACTGTAGGGAGCGCCCTCAAGACCAGTCCTTAGGACTGGATTAACATCACACCACACACCAAGTACAAACGACAGTCCAGGTCACCTTGGTCGACGCCTTTTCCTTAACGTTATACTCCTGCTCTCTCAACTGGACACAATGGTGTCGACCACTAGGGAAAGGAATCCAAAGCAGATCCAAGGCCGAAGAGCTGGAACCACAGACAATCTCCAAACTCAACCAGCTTTCACACAACGCCAGTCCTAAGCAAGTGCACAAACGATGCAAGGACCAAGGGAGTCTGAGAAGGGACTCTACTCAGATGACCAGGGGCAGGGGGCAGGAGGTAATACGCACCTCCTGCAGCATCAAAACCCAGAGAGGAAAGAAAACATTTCAGTTGACTTAGAGGTCTACAGATTATACAGTAGAAAAACACCAGCCAAGCCTAAGAAGAACCACAGCCTGCCTTGAAAAAGCCTCCACGGATTCGGCAAAAGAAATGAAGTGACAGAGGAATATGAAGATGTGCACATTCACATTGGCATACTATGTCAACTCAAGTTCTTTCTCACAAATGATAACACGGTAAGAAAAATCGATTATGACAAAACGTTTACTGAAGAGAGTGATCAGATTTACAACCAAGTCATTCAATGCAGGAGATGCAAAATACTGATGTGACATAAACACTAAAAACTAAAGCGATAGGACAGGAAAGGTGGGGTAATGTCAATAAAGTTTCAAAAGAAATCTGACAAAGAAAAAGTATTTTTAAATAATTTGTAGGAGGTGTGATGAAGTACAAAAAAAAAAAAACAAAAAAACAAAAAAACACACCCCAGCAATATGGAACACATTTATTCCAAATGTGGCCACATCTCCAACTATACTGGCCATGTCCCCAGTGTGCTGTGAGGACAGGCAGGCCAACCCGACAGCAATACCCTGCAGCTGGCATCTGCGCCCAGACCCTCTCTGCCCGCCAGCCCCGACCTGCAGCACAGACGTGGGCCAGGAGACCCTCGGGAGACATCCTTTGGAGTCTGGGAAACTCCCAGGAGTGCCGAGCAGAGAATCAATGCCAGACCTCAGACCTCACGATGAACACGGAGCCCAAGAAAAGCAGAGCCTTACCCATGTCGTAGTCTTTGTGTTATGGTCAATGAAGAAGGGCCGGCCGTTGGGAGCTATCCTCATTTCCCAGCCCGGTGGCAGGAAGCTCTGTGTGACTTTGTGTTGTGGTTTGGGGGAGTTGTAAGGTGATGGCTGTGGGGACTGTGGATTGGAAAGGGTATCTTTCACAGCCCGGCGTATGGGTGAATCCTTGGCACCCTAAGGAATAATAATGAGCATTAGAACTCTCGACCGTGCGCCATTCCAGTGCGTCAGTGGGCCAAATGCGCCCGGGGCTTGCAGAATGCTCCTCCTTGGACACGGACAAGGGGGAAGCTCCTGGAAACCCTGTTTCTTCATTTACTTTTAAATCCACCTAACTTTATACTTTGTTTTTCTTTACACTTTTTTTTAAAAAAATTGTTGGTTCAACACACAACAATATTAAATACTCATAACCATCATTCTTTAGCAACCACTTGGTAAGGTTCAAAAATACTCTTTTCTATTAAGCCTTATGGATGGAGAATTTACAGAGAATGGAGAAAAACATGCCCCTGCTCTCAACGAGCTCACAGTCTAACCAAAGAACAGATTGGCAGATTTTAAAGCACAGAAGAAAAACCTTCACCAACGGAGACAATCGCCTGGAATGACAGAGTTAGTTGTTAGCCATGTTTGCGTCAGAGCCCGGAAGAGCTGTCACCCTTTCCCACCTAGCAGCAGCCCGACCCAGAGAAAGAAGAAACCAACCCAGGGTCAAGTTTAGAACCTCAAACGTTTCCTCTCTGGCTTTTCTAACTCTGACATTTGTGACATCCAGGGATGGCACTCAACAACACAAACAGGAGAGCGCAAAGCAGATGTCCAGCAATGACTCAGAGGGCAGATATGCATCAGAGACACGAACGCCCATCCCACGAGACCCCCTACAGTCAAAGGAGAAAATGATCAAAGCAACAGCTATGTTTCGAAACTCAATACAAGCACTGGTACTTGAGAGAGTTATTATGCAGTTCTAATGCGGTAACAGGCAATAAGGAGCAAAACACAACAAGAATGGAAGAAGTTCTGAGAAGAGGGGCCACATCCAGCACAAGTGACCACGCACGGCGTCAGCCAGATGAGGATGAGGACCGTGCCAGGCCTGGATGTTAACGGGGTGAGACGGAGAAGCATGTGGGGAGGCTACACAAGGACACCCCCGGGACACACGACTCATCAGGAGGAGGCTGCAAAACTGAAGTCCGCGTTAAGAGAGAAGAGAGATGAGGAGAAGCCACAGGACAGAGGTGACCCCAGTTAGTCGAGGGAGCCTTCTCACCTCCAGTGGGGCAGATAAAGTTACAGTCGGCGAACTGAGGCTACGAGGCCGGCGGATCTGAGGCTCGATTAGGTGGTTGTTACTGTTTGTGGCTGATCCGGAGGCACCATCTTCTGCAAGCTATTTTGGAGGCAAAAACAAGTTAGCTTCATATGAGGATCTCCCTTCGTGTGACTAGAAGCATGAACCCCAACAACAGCACACAGCAATAATAAGAGGGTTGGCCTAGTTCAAGCATGAGGAAATAATTAAACATAATAATGGGGGAAAGGATGGGGAAACACATTCAAGGGGAGTAAAATGAATCACTGGCCCCCATAAAAAACTAGCCTCAGAAGAAGGGGGTGCAGGGGAGGGCTGCAACAGGCTGATTTTGAAAATACCTTTCATGTTACATTTAAAAAATATATCCAAGGGCAGAGTGATTTGAGGACCAAAGTCTTCCTTAGGCAAATGCTATACTGAAGTAATTAAAGTAATGCATGTCTTTTCTGAGACCATTTATTTTTTTTTTTGTAAACAATGTCTTCAGAGCAACACATAAACATCGGGAGAGGAGGTGGGTGATGTGTGTCCTGTGTTACGGCCTGGGCCTGCGTTTAGGTTGGATGGCGATCTTCATACCTGCATGATTGGTCGCGTCCAAGTTGTGGTTCGATTGTTATGATTGACATAGTATGTGCGTCCCTTAGCATCTTTTCTTTCTTCCCAGCCTGAAGGTAGGCCCGGCGTGGTATGTACATAGGCCACTGATGGCTGTTTGTGCAAGAAATCGTTATTATTTAACAACTAGCATTTGTATTCTGATCAGTTTTAATAAAGTAACACACAACCAGATAATTCTACTTTCGGGACAAGGTAAGTTAATTTTATTTGCACAGAAAACATTCCAAAGAGTGTCTGAAAGACGACGATAGCTTTTTTAAGGGCTTCAAATCCACTGTGAGAGGAACCCCACACAGCTGGGTGAAGGGGCTCCACATTCTCACAGACTCAACTTTCTGACCCTGAGGTCTAACCTGTTGCTAGGGTGACTATTAGGAAAGAGAAAGACACTATAATCTGTTCTGGTTACCAAACTTCACTGTCACACCGTGTAGAGATGAAAGGCACCCAAGCTACTCAACACTATGGACACTCCTGCTCCACACAAGTGTCACGGGGTGCTCCTCTAGTGCAGTCCTGGGTTCTTCCAGCTTCTGAGGCCCTGTACATGACAGCATCTGGGGCAGAATAAAAATCCAATACAGAGACCCTCATGGATGCTCAGATTCCCATGGTGACAGCTAAGGAACACAGGTACATCTGCATGACTCAGCTGGGGAGGTCCTCTGTCACCAGACAGAAGAATCCCAAGGAGCCTCATAAACCAAGGCCACTCCTACGCAGTACACCGATAAGGAATGTGTCCCTTTAACTGGCCAATGAACAAACTAGATTGCAGAAAGAGACTTCTGTTTCTAAGAAGCAGTCCAAGAAAGGCAGTCTGGATGCAGGAACACCAGATGAGCAAGGATGGGTCAGGGACTCATGAGGTCATTGGATGTGTGGGGCGAGAGCCGTCCTGGGAAGGGCACATCCTAGACTAGCACCTGTAGACCAGTGCTCAGAAACAGGAGGGCAGCCAGGGCCCCAGGCTCCTGGGAGAAGGAACCAGGGCCAACAACTAGGAGTGACCTGTTCTGCGAGGCTGCTGCTGCCCTGGGTGTTACCTTTCCTAGTTAGGGTAGCTTCTCTGAGCTTCCAGGTGTCTCACAAGGTGTTCCTCTTTTTTAATGAGGTTGAGGATGCAGATCTGTTGACCCTACACCTTCCTGTCTTTATACCACCATTTCTGTTCACTACTAACAACCTGAGTAGGCAAAGGAGGTCATAGTCACAGGGCCCCTCAGTGGACCTCAGAAAAATACAAGTAAGTCCCCTGCAGGTACTCAGGGCTGCATCTGAAGGGGCTCTGGAGGCCACTTCATAAGCTTAACAGCACACTCCGGAGAAAGAGCAACTGCACAATTAACTGGGAAGCAACAGACTCAGTAGTTACTGCTGACCCAGCAAGGTAAGATTATTATCCTGCTAAAAATACAGCAACCATTTCCTTTTTTTTTTTTTAAGGTAAATCCTAAAGGTGTCATAAAATAGTTTCAAGATGACCACAACATCCTGGATCCAGGTGGGGAGGAGATTCGACAGGAGTAGTAGAAACCTCAACTTGCAGACTTAAGTCCTTTCACGACTAGTCAGATTAACCCACAGCCTGGGCAGAGCTGCCTGCTCTTCCTTCTCCAGCTGGACACTAACACAAGGCACTAGTTCTAGGCTACCTTTATTTGAGACAATGATAAAAACCTACCCTACCCTTAGCAGTCAATCAGTATTTTTGACAGAGTGCATGCTACCTTATTCTGATTTACAGTGATTTATATATTCAAAATGCCTCCGACTAAATGAAATACTAAGTGGAGTCTGTTCTTTTGTCCTTCCTTGCCGTATTACCTTTTTTTTCAGTACTGGGGATTGAACCCAGGGGGCTTACCACTGAGCTCCACCCTAGTCCTTTTTATTTGATTTTCTAAAACTTTTGAGACTGGATCTAAGTTGCTTAGGGCCTCACTAACTGAGGCTGGTCTCAAAACTGGGATCCTCCCTGCCTCAGCCTCCTGAGTCACCGGGATTACCTGCTGTGTTACTTTTTGTGGGGAGGCAATTCTGCTCTCAGAAAACTCAGTTCCAGAAATCTTCAGATTACTAGAACAATTGAATGTCCCTGGAAACCATATTTATGAGTTGACTGATAAATTGCAAAAACTTGGCTGTGCTGTGGGTAATCTCAGAACTGAAATCTAAGCTGTTCGAATTTCCAGGGACTAGGTCATTTTCACCGATAGCGCAATTAACAGTACTAACCAGCTTATGGAAAACTGCACAGTAGTCGAGAGAACACTGAATTTGATTAAAATGTCCATTGTACCTTCTATTGAGAATTGAACTGGTGATCTGCAATTTAGTGGCATTTATGTGAGAGGGTGTTATTAAAATGTTTCTTTACTGTGTCCTCTCCAAATGAGCATGTGGAACAGTCTGTGCTGAGGAGTCCATCTGTGACTCAAAACACTGCCTGGATGCACATAGCTAGCCCAGCCTTGGGGCCATCCAGACTTCTTCTACTGCCGTGTGCATATAGCATGCTCCAGACCACCTCGGGAAACAAGGTGGGTTATCAAAAATACAACAACAACCCCCCCCCCAACCTGTGGCTTAGGATATTTACCATCTCACAGCTTTTTACTTGTAGACTGGATTTATCACTGTGTTGTATGATGCCAAACATCCACCAACTCCTGCTTTACAACAGCTCTGTTTCTTTCATGAAAATGATGAACTCGATCATGTTTTAAACTGAACAAGTATCAATATGGTTTTGTAAATAACCGCTTTGATACTGACCACCACAGATTCTCCAAGACTGGCTCGAATCCTGCCAGAGCAGTGTGTTAGTGTAATTTTAGAATCTGCACAGCGAAGATCAAAGGACCTTGTTATTCCTCTCCTGGTATCTCAAAGGGAGGGCTCTGGCTTAGCCAGTCAGAAAGTGACACCAGTGTGCGTTCACTCGCCACAAATCAAAGGACTATGGTTGCTTAGGTGAGAATCAGGGCCTTGTTGTTATACTATAGGAATAAATGCACTCTAAGGAAAGCCAGATATACCAGGATGGTTATTCCACACAGTATATGAGCCTAAATACCCTTCAGTGTGGAAAATTTATACAAAGTGAGCTACACTCACATCACTGAATATTAAATGATTGTTAACATATCCAGGAGGATGACCATAAGTAAGAAAGAACCAATTTGTTGAGCATTATGTATATGACAATTTACTTTTCTAAAAGAAACAGCATGTGTGTGTACATGGGAAAGCCCACAGAAGGAGCAAGGTAGCCCACTCCGGGGAGCTCCAGCCTGGGCACACACTTCAGTGTAGGACAATGTGCAGAGGGGTAGGAAAGAGGGTCCATGAGGCAGAAACCATGTGAGGAGACAACTGGGGAACAGGACATCCAGGGCAGACAGAACAAAGGTTGGTGGGGTGGAAGGGAAGTGGTGGGGTTGGATCGGGAAGGTTCCTTCCAAGTTTCTGGAGGTATGGAGAAAGCACAGCATGAATGACACGTGGAGGGATCATTTTGCTCAAGTCTTCTAAAAAATCAATACCCAACCCAAACCCATATTTTAATTCATGGATGAGGAAAAGGAGAACACAGGCAAGTAGTCAGATGGAATCTCATTCAGATGGATCACCTTGTCCTGCCAGGGGACTCTGATCACGGAGCCTGGTACTACACTAATCCAGTTTATTCTGCCATTTATGATCATCAGCTGGCACAACATGCCAAGACAAAAACAGGTTGCAAGGCCAATAAAATGCAAAAATGGATGACACACTGACCATGCCGAGTGAGGTACTAAAATCATCTCATGGAATGATCTGTTTACCTCTAGCTCCACTACTCCCACAGACATTGCCAGCATACAGTGGAACTAAGCAAGTTCATATAGAATTCTTTGAAGCCTCCTAGAGCCTAAGCCTGGATCACCCAATGCATGACTTTCATCGAAGCCAATGCAGCTCAATATTGTCAATCATGCTGTTACTGAATGTCAATTTGATTTTCTCTTGTACAACGTTGAGCACTTGAATCTAACAATATACCTAAATCACTTTTGTAAATTATCAACATCCTTGAGAAAATCAGCTATTTTATACGTAAAGTTATTCAACACTAATGAGCAGTTACAGCAAAAACAATACAGGTGAAACAATAAGGCAAATTCTTCAAGTAGCTACTGCATCTCAAAGCACAAACTCAATGCTAATCTGACTTTAAGGATCAAGTAGAGCGACAATTAGAATACCCAAAGTAAAGTTACCCCCAAACATGAATAGCATAAGATATTCAAAATAACGAATAAGAAGAATAGTAGGTAATTGGCTTCAAGTAGCACCAAATTTTCTAGATCGTTTAAACATCTTAACTCATTAAGTCCCAAGTTTTTCATTCTGTGAACATAATAATTATTTCCAAGTTACCATAAACAGTATATTTGTTGCTCAAGTCAAGTCTTTACAGGCGGGATAAAATGGGAATGCTCCCTGCCTGGGAATTGTATGAACCTGTTCATTCTCCTGTGAGTCAAGTCTCTGGGGCATAGAAACACTAGCTCATGATGGAAGCACAGAAAGTCTGGCCCCCTGTTAAAAACAAACAAAAATGTGATATGGGAAATGCAGAGAATGTAGCCCAGTGCACAATCAGGACACACATGTCCAAACTCATGCATTTCCTATGGCTTCTCTGATTATCTTCCAATGAAATTACTTTAACCCAGCATTCCAACAAGCAAAAGCTCATCAGGAGTACAAACACTAGAAGGCAAAACTATACTTGAAATAGTCAAATTAAACACACTTAACCAAAGCTTGATGGTATTCCCAATACAGTTATTGGGACCAAAAGTCATTCCACTTTCCCCAAAAAGGGAAAGTTCAAAATAAAAAAAAACAAAACAACAACAACAAAAAAAACGTGCATCTCTGTAGCACAATGGAGCTGATCTTATTTGTTAAAAAGTGACAGCATATTCAACATTAATCAAAATATGAAACCGCCCCGTCAGACCTCTGCAATTAATGTCTGATAAAGTGTGTCATTACCGTCGGCTCCTCACCACCCGAGACTGTGGACGACCGTGCTCTCCTAGTTGGGGTATTGGGCTGTTAAATGATAATTGACATCAGTGAAGTGCACTCAGGGGATGACCCATTGCAGAGTGAGCTGGGGATTATGGCTGCGACAGCGTTGGAAGGCAGGTGACAAGAGAGCAGAATCCCTGACACCAGCTTGGGCCAAATGAAGCTGAGCAGTCGCTGACCACCAGCAGCCAGAGGACCCCCCCCCCCTTGCTGCCCAGGGAGGCTCAGGCTGGAGCCCTGGTCTGGTGAACAAGGCCAACCTCAACAAAGTATGAGATGGCTAAGAAAGGGAAAATGGAAGCCAGTCTGCTTCGCCCTCACTGTCCAGGACTGAGCAGATTCCTAAATCTGCTGCCCTCAACACTCCGGTGGAGGCCACTGGTGATCAGTGAGTTCACAGCACAAGCAGGAGGAACCACCAATCTCCAGGAAAGTGAGCTCTTTGGCAAATTAAAGTAACATTGATTTTGAAAAGGAGAGAAAGAGCCATTAATTCACCAAGGAAAATCACAGGATGGTCAGGCTGATTTTCATCACAGCTGATTGTTCTCTTTTGGGGACCCATACCGAACCCCTCCCGCAAAGATGCTCTCATCAAGCTTGTTATAAACCAGTCAACTCTCTGTGACTCACAACTGAATCAATTATCTTGACTAATATACTTATTAGTTCATTTTTTAAACATAAAAACTAAAACCTAGGCCAAAATATCCTTTGAAGCCAAGTAAAAATGGACACGATTGGGAAGACACCGATTTCAAAAACTTTAAATGTGCTTCTTCCCCCCCCCCTCGAATTCATACATAATGAAGTATGTCAGAAAATAATCAGATGTGGGGCAATAAGAAAAAAGTCAAGGTCAAAATGCCAAATCAAAAGTGTCAAACTGCATAATATTTTCACCTCCAAAACAGGGAAGAAGTTTGCATAAAATCCCTCATTTGTAATGTGTATGCCCCACACTTCCCAAGGCAGTGCCGACCTGTCTTCCAATTGGAATATTTAATTGTTACATACCCTGGATGTTGCTAACCCTCTGCCACCTCCGTTTGCTGATAGTTACTAAACTGTGGGGCAATGAGCACAAACTATTGCCAATTCTCTGCCTTTAAAGAGAGAGCAGGTGTCTTTGTGGAGTTTAGAGTTGAGGCCACAGGGATGCAAAGAAGCATGTGACTACCCAGAAGAGTTCTTCCTGTTTTAAGGGGTTGGTGAGTTGGCAGGGTACCGCTCGCTGAAGACAGCGATGGTCATTCCACAAAGTGGAGGGAATCATGAACATCCCAAGTACTTTCCATCAAGGAAGCACATCAGAATTGGTGTAAACTGGGGTGAAAACCAAAGCATCGAAGTTTTCAGCATTTTGTTGACCTGGGTGGCAATACCAAGTCTGTGTGTTGGAGACCCACCCTCTCCTTGGGCAATTTTCGAGGCAAGTTTCAATTGTCACATGTGACATGGTGAATGGATCTGCACAGGAAAAACTCTTTCTTAGGAGCCAAGATTTCAAATCAAAGCCCCAAAGCCAGCTGGTGACTGGAAATAAGCATGGGTTACCGGTGGTAGGTGGGCCTGCTCTGCAACCGCGTCGGTGACACTGCAGGACCGCAGCCTGGAGGAGGGCTCTCTCTGCTGGAGGGGAGAGAAAGACAGGGAGTGTCAAAAGGCATTCCCTAGAAAGGAGCTTCACTGGTTAAAAAAAAAAAAAAATTTCTATCACTCAACCCTATGCATGAATGAAAAGAAACATCTCTTTGCAGCCAGAGTGATCCCTTAGGGAGTGAAGTCAGCCTGTTTCAAATCCCCGTGTTTTCAGTGGACTGGGATTTTCAATGTCCTTAGAATTAGTAGCCAAAGCGAGAGAGGGAGAGACTAAGCCTACTGGGAAGGAAGCCCAACTGACCCCTGCCACACTCCCAATCTGTAACCAGCAGTAAGAAGTCAGCTTGGGATGCAGCTCTTTGAGACTTCTCATGTCACAGGCCTAGAGGAAAAAGGACGAAGGAACAGAGATAGAAGGCTACTGGACATTCACTGACTCTCACAGGTGACCAAGAATCGGTTGGACTCTCTGTCCCCAGGAACTCAGAATTCACCTTGTCCTCCTCCTCCTGAAGGATGAGGTACTTATCATTTTAGCTTCCGAGTTCAAGTCGTACAGAACAGAAAGGAAGGAAAACAGTGGGGCTCGTCTAAAACCAACCTGGTGTGCCATGTAGAATGTTCCTCTCATTCTATGTGGTTAAACAAAGCCTGATAGATCTGCATGGAGAGGGGAGCAGATCACAGATGGAAAACAAGGGTCTCTCTTGGGGCAGATTTAGCCACCATACAAGTCTGTGACATGCACATATTTTTAACATTTTACAATGACAAGTAACATAAGATAATGTCTAAGAAAAATTTTGTAGCTTTCCCACACTGACTCGTGTGGAGAAGTTGCTTTTTAAAAAATATTTATTATTAGAGCATTATAGTTATAGAAAGTAGTTGAGTTCATCCAGACAAAAAAAATCACACATGCATGCAATTCAATTTTAGTTCATCTTCCCCCCATTCTCCATGTCTCCTTCCTCTGCTGGTCTTATTTTCGCTCATCTATTTATTTTTGTTTAGCTCTTTCTACTTATAAAAGTGGAATTCCCTCTGATGTATTTATATGTGCACATTATTTTTAAAATATTCACTCAGCATTTTCTCCCCTTCCCTGATCCTCCTCTCGCCCTCTCAATTTCCTTCTTCTACACTACTCATCTTCCCTACAGCTTTACGATATCTGATCCTCCCTCTTTTCTTTCCTTTATCTTACTTTAGCTTCCACACATGAGAGAAAACATATGATCTGTGAATTTTTAAGTCTGGCTTACTTCACTTAACATGTTCTCCATTCCCATCCATTCACCAGCAAATGCTATAATTTCATTTATAGCCGAGTAAAATGCCATGGTGTATACATACTGCAATTTCTTAATCCATTCATCTGTTGACATATCTAGGTTGATTCCATAAAGGAGTCACTCTTGAATAAATGTTCATGCTACTGTCCTTGACTACAGAGTGACCCTGAGAGGCAAAACCAGAGAAGTGTTCCCTAGACATTCTAACACTTACCAAAATTCTGAAAACACAAAAATACAGCACTTGGATCTGAAAGATATGTGTGCATGCTTATTTTTGCTTATAGAACAATTACATGCAAGAGCTCGCTATGCAAATAACTAGAAATGCCAATTTATTATTGAGTAAAACTGACTTTTTCACTTATTTCACTAAAGGTATACAATTGCTATGGTTTCAGCAATTCCTTTTTTCATAGGTATTAAGTACGTGACTTCATGGCTTGTTTCCATAGCAACAGCTTCACCAATTCAAATATCCCACATATACAACCTCTTTTCCTGTTCACTTAGTACTAAATTTTCATCTCGGTGGTATTCTTCTTTCTGAAAAACACTCATAGAATTTTAATGTGAAACCATATTAACAAGTAATCCCAGCAACTCATGTTAACAGTGACCCACTATGTCTTTTGAAATGAAAACACCCTGCCAAAGGAGTGAAAAATCTTATGAATGCTTGCTAGGCTTTTGTATTTATGGAGTCCTCTCCTTATATTCAGTATGCTCATGATAGTGACTGTTCCTAGGACGTCACTTTCAGTGGAGAGCCTGCCATATTCCTGTAGCGCACCTTCCAGTTCAGTTTCTTGAGAACCACTGGGTTTGGGTTTGATCTTAATTCGACACACATGCCAGGATTATCTACAGGCTTTCTCTGCAGTTTTGTCTTGTCAAATGCAAAGCTCTCCAGCCATATTCACTTCTTCTGAAATGGTCTCCTTTGCTTTTCCCTGGGGATCAGCCCTCTCTGAAGCTTCTAGAAAGCATTTCTCTGATGGTTGAGAACCTCAGCTCAAAGGCTACCTGGATGCCAGTGTCACCTGACACACCCTTTCTTAAGGACTCATGCTCTGGGATTTAGGAGGCGACTTCTATTCCCATTCAAACCTTGTCAGGGATGGGCCACTTAACTCGAATGCCCGTATCTGTGAAGTGGGAATTATAAACTTCTGAGCTATGGCTTAAGATATTCAGATCAGGAGGCCCAAAGCCTTTTTCTATCATCACCATGAAATAATCACCACCATAGAAAAAAAAAAAAACACCTTGATGACGAAGGCACTATTTTTATGAGCTTTTGGGCTGGGAAAGAAATTCTACAAGGTTACAGGCCGCAGTCCGGCTGTGGGAAAATAACCTGGGTGGGGGGGCAAGCAACTTGTGTACATTGATACAGCAGGAGTGGGAGCCGTTTATTTTAGGACAAGAGGGGTATATATACATCACACACAGCTTATCTTAATTAACATAAACTAGATACAGCAGTCAACCAATCAGGACTCTCCACACTTAATGGCTCACTGGCGTTACTTCACAAACCACTCCCTCTGGCAAAATGCCAGGCGCCATCTGGACTTGTTTACAGACCCTAACAGTTTCAGCTGGTAATTACAGAATTCATGGAAACTTAACCTTTTTTTTTTTTTTTTTAAACAAATCAAGAAAAAGAGCTGGTGATGCATAGCTGTTCTCCAAATCAAAAAAGATTCTCACCTGCCTGGGCTAATTTTAATATAATCTTGCTTCTTGGGAAGAAGAAACTTTGGAAAATGTCAAGAGATAACTGGAAGTTGGAAGACCCTTGGTGTCATTTACATACAAGATTCTCCTGAAGCAACAATGAAGAATATTGCTCAAGACCTCTACTTACAATCAGAGAACTGAACTGTTCCCCATTGGAGTCTGGAGTGATCTGAAGCCTTCTGCTCAGTTCCTCTGACAGCTCCTGAGGGCTGGTTCGAGACACTGGGGAGGAGGGCGGTGGGGGCAGAGCCAGGCCAAGCGAGTCTCCAGCCATGTTCACTTCTTCTGAAATGGTCTCCCAAGGCTTTCAAGGAATGAGACACTGGGGTAAATGCTAGGAACTGGGGATTGTCCTGTCCCCAATGAAAACACACGCTAACCATGGGGATAGCTATAATTAACATGTGGTCAACATTTAACACGAGGCACACAAACTTCACGATCATTATGAGGAAGAAATGACTCCTGTCCCAATTAACAGATGAGCAAATTGAGGCATGGACAGCAACTCTCGAGGTATAAGAGCTAGTGAGTGGCATGGCCACCAAGATGTGACCAGGATGCCTGGTGCAGGGGCGGTGCTTGCACACCTCTAGGGCACCAGCCAGCGCTCTGAGCTGCAGCTTCTTGACAGCCTTTGTTAAATGTACTTGGGCTATAATAATCTTCTCAGGAGTGCACCAATGATTTCCTTGGGTTTCTTTTACTCTAACTGCTGAGGATTCATAATGAAAACAGCACAGATCCTACAAGCTGTAATTAAACACTGGAATAAAGCAACTTCTAGTGAATTTATTTTAAAATCATTAATTTGCTTTTCTAATTGTGATCACTGCAACAGTTTGTGAATGGTCTTCTTTCTAATTCAATGTCTAAAAGGAATATATTTCTAGCAAGGGAACAGAGCTGTTAAGACAGCATGGAAGTCAAGATTATTGTTTGACGCACTACAACCATTAAAAGAGAAGATTATAAACATTTCTATTGACCCAAATTTGTATATATTTTTTTTTTTTGGTCATAAATCTCTTTCAAGATGTCAAAACAACTCAGTAAAAACTTGTCTGTGAGTCGTGAACAAGTAATAGGGCTTGTTCAACTGTTCAAACATGATAACCTGATGTCATTTAGTAAGATATGGTTAGACTCTGGGGGAAAAACAAATTACCAAGTGAAAATATCTTCAGATTTTCATACTAGAAATGTTATTCCCTTTTGTGATGATACAGAGTCACATGTGCTTGTCAAACACGGCTTTTACAAGCCCTTGCTAAATTAATTAACACCAGATGGCAACCCATTCGCTGTGCGAATTATCTTTACATCCTAGACAAGAGTCACTGAGAAGGCATCACGACAGGTCCTCCTACCTCAGGGGTCTCTCCGCCTTCCGAGGCCTCGGGCTCCAAATCCTCGCTGATGTGCCTCCGAGAGCGGAAGCGTCGGTGTGCGGCCTCCTGGTTGATCTGCCTGATGTTATTGTCCGACTCCGAGGACACGTCCCTAAGAGTGGGGTGGGGGTGCAAGAAGGGGAGAGGTATTTAGAACAGCCCTCCGACAGTCTAACTTCAGGGCAGCACGCCAGGACACCAGTGACACCCACTGACACGGCTGCTCGCCAGAGAACTCTTCCATCTTATCCTGGGGAGAAAGCAGGGCAAGGTCCCTTCCAATCAAGTGCATGCTGCCTGTAGTGTAGCGGTCACAATGTTTAGGGCATCTTTCAGATACATACAGTCATCCCTTGGTATCCATGAGGGACTGGTTCCAGGATCCCCTCCCCTTCCCAAGGAAACCAAAGTCACAAGTGCTCAAGCCTCTCATAGAAAATGGCACAGTACTTGCATAAAACCCACCATGGGCTCCCACACACTGTTATTGCTAGATTATTTATAATACCTAATACAATGTAAATGCCATGAAAATAGATGTTATCTTCCTTGTTTAAGGAATGACAATAAGAAAAAAAAAATACAGGCATGGTATTTTTTTCCACGTAATTTTCATCTGGGGGAAACCATCAAGACAGCACTGATGATACCTCAAAATGTACTTTAGTATTTAAGAACAGGAATCAAAGTCCCCCAACCCATGTGGCACATGAGGCATCTGCAAGGAGGTGAGAGGCAAGCTCACACATGCAGCTCATCGGAATAAAATCTTCAAGGAGTCCAGCAATGACAAAGCAGCTACTTCGGTCATCAGCAATTGACCCAAGATAACTGACAGCATAAACTCATGGCTGCAACTGGACAAAAGAACTGCTGACCCAGCAGCTGCTTTCTATCTTATTCTGACAAAATCTCAAGAGTCCTAACACCACATCCTGCATCCTTCCAACCTACTTCAAAAATCTGAATAAACACCAGGAACCAACTTCCCAAGTCCACTGGGATTTAAAGAATACTGAAACATCTTTTTTGGGGATAGTGGGAGGGGTCACATAAGGTTCCCAGTTCAAGATTTGAATACACTGATGAAATCTTGAAAACATTTTTGCCGCATATTACAGGTATCGGTCCTTTGGGGAGGAAAAACTCCTCAGAGGCTTTCAGGGTAGAAATTTAAATTCTACAATGCTTTTCAGAGGAAACTCTTGGCACACTTTCAATAAGATTTGATATTACATTAATAAAAATTATGTTGCAAGTTGATATTACAGATTAAATGAAATATAATATTAAGAGCCCAATTATAGATTCTTTCTAAAACAAAGGTTTTAAAGTTTCTAGTACAGTCTCAAACTAATTTATTACTTATCCCAAAAGGTGCCTGCTGAGCCCCCGAGATAGGGACTAGTCTGCAATTAGCAGCTGTTGGCAAGTAAGTGGATGACTTTTCAACACGGACTTCCTCAACAGCTGAGCATTTCCAACGGACATCTTTACACTATTAGTTTTCCTGGTCAAGGGGCAAGTGTGCAGGTTAGTGTGCTAACATTTAATCTACATTTAAATCATAATTCCTTATCATTAGTGTCTGGATTAATGTTTTATTGTATTTGTATGCCCAATACACAAATGTTTGGTACCCTTAACTAAATACCTTCTTTGCCCATTGTACAGTTATATTACATATAACTAAGTAAAACAGTACACTTCATAGAGATCTTCAGAAAACATTATTATGATCATAGAGGGAATTATTAAAGTCAAAGGATATTAATAAACTTATGAAAGCATGAAAAGGGAATTATGAAAAATGACACTTGGCTACATTAGCAAACAACGCTGTAGTGTGATTTTATGTAGTTGTCATTTTTAGATGACATCCAATTTTTAAACACACAATGGCTGAAATACAATCAATAGACAACAGAAAAATTTGGAAGGAAAATGATCAGAATACATTCATAAAGTGTATGAACAATTTCAGTAGTAAGGCAAAGGAACAGTACACATCCTCTTCCACTTTTTGAGGATGTAAGCAATTTCTCTTTAGGACAAGCAGCATCACTTGAAAATATTTCATATCCAAGAGTTCTATCAAAATTTTAAATCTTCCTTGAAATGCCAGTTGTAGTCACAACAAGGGTATAACCTGTTCATGCTGCTAAGTGTCTGTCCCTAAACAAGGTGCGTTGTGCATGCTGGGCTCTTACAGGGACTTAGAGAGGTGGAGAAGACTAAAGATTTAATGTTACTATGTCTGTATCTTCCTTCAGAAATATATGAAAATCTACTGTGCCAGATTTTTTTTTTAAAAAAGAGATGCATTTACAATCAATTATGTCAATTTTCCTTATCCAACAAGCTCAAATAATCAGTAATCAGTGTGAAGTAGAAATAATTAAATAGCAAAAGAAACAAGATAACTCTGAATTTGAAATTCCACCCAGGGGCTTTCATGGTCTTAAGTAGTAATGGGGAAATGTTCACACGTGGGAGGCCGCTGCATTTAATTAAGCGAGTGAGCGAGGGGCTGGTGAAACCGAGACTAGAAGTTGAGAGCGCAGGACCACTTACGATTATTTCTGAGAAATTAACCACTTAAGTCCCAAGTTTTCAGTTCTGCAAATATTTCAATGGACACAGATGTATTAAAATAGGTCCATATTTGTTGCTCTAAGTTTATGTAGGTTCCATAACTGGGACGATGGGACAAAAGGGAAAATGGAAAAATGACTTTCCTGGGGGAAAGAAGAGGAGGCTACTTCAGTCTTCCTTGGGTCATTGCTTTTCATACACATTCTTCACTGACTTTGGGGGAACATGGCAAGAGAGAGCATGGGTCCACCTGCCTTGAAATCAAGCTTAGGGCCAACCACAGATGACAGATCACTTCATCCCTGGTACAGTAGTGACTGCAGGGATGACCCGAAGCAGTGACTGCACCTCCACTCACTTCCAGAAGTGGCCCCTGTTGGACAGTGGTCCATTGAGAACGTATTTTGCTGCAGTCCAGAAGTAGAGCAGCACAAGGCTACTGAGGACCTGGACAGAAGAGGAAGGCCGGTCGGTTGAGACCGTGCAGTGGCCCAGGAAGGGCATGCCCCAGGCTCTCGGTCCTTGCTTTAGTTTCGGGGGATGGGCTTCTACCCACAGGACCCAAAATAAGAGAAGGCAACGGTCACAGGCCACTGAAAGAACGAGGTCTGTGTCTGCGGGTGGCGAGAGCGGGCGATGAAGAACCCCGTGGGAATGTCCCAAGGGCAGCAGGGAGTCAATGACAGAACTCAAACCTGTTCAAAGGGGGCTTGTAGCAGGTGGGCAACACTGGTCCCTGAGGTGGTCACCACTTGGCTTGGCACAAACTACCACTGTCTGACCTCTTGACTCGGATACTTCCTAACGGCAGCCCTTTCCCTCTGATGGTGATGCAGCATTCTGTGAAAACTGGGTTATTTTTTAACTAAATCAATTCTCAAAAGATAATTCTGGGGGTCCAAGTTCTTTGGATCGGATCTAACAAAATTGAGGGAAAAGAACCCCAATCCATAGAAGTGCAGAGGAGATGAAAGGTCTCTGTCAAGGAGACTGACATCCCCCTGACTTGTCTCGCTTTCTAGAAGCCGAGCCATCTGGAAAGGAAGGCATCCTTGTGTCCCACCAAGTTCTGCCGATGTCCTTCCTGACTCAGCCCCTCCCCCTGGTACTGATGCCTCACTGACAGGGACAGCCATGTCCCAGTTTCTCCTGAAACCAGGCTGGAACCTGAACTCATGCCAAGAACTGCATTTCTCCCCACTGCTTCTGGCTTAGTGACGAGAGCCAGCATTACGTGAGGTGCACCCTCTGGTTTGCTTTGGTTCTCTGGGACACACTGTCCTCAAAGGTGGTACCGTTTTTAACCAAGTTACTGAGGTTCAACTGACCCACAGAATCTGTACTTATTTAATGGACACGTGGTGAGGAGTTTGGAGATGGAATGCAGAGGAAACACTCCCTAGTGTCTTCTCAGGAATTCCCTCATTAGAGCTTCATAATTCTGTGAGGTCAAGAAAGTAGCAAGTGTCCCCATTTATCTCAAAACCGCAGACTTCAATCTGCAAGGTACTGATGAACAGAGATGAAGACCTTTCCATCTATCTGTTAGCCACTTCTGCTTCTTCCTTTGTGATTTGGTCCCTTTATTGTTATTGGTCCCTCTTCCACAAGGTCACGTGATACTCTGGCCATCTTAGCAATGCCATCTTTTCAGGTTCTGGTTTCTTGTGCTGTCTGGGGCAGGTGGAGGAAGGTGCTTCATTAGGGTATAGTTACTACTTCCCATCACTAGACGCAGCCAAGCCCAAGATGGGTCCATGGTCAATTTTACTACAAACACCGAAAATAGCCAAATGACTTATCATACTTTTAATAGCTAAGATTTTTAATGAGGGAATATGGGAATAAATAAAATTATGAGCAAATAAATAGTATCAACTAAATCATGTCCATTTTTATTTCTATGGGAAAAAAAGATAGCCAAGAAGAGTTCAGCATTACCCCAATGTCTTGATAGTTATGCTGTTCTGGGAACAATGAGCTAATGGGCAGTCCAAAGTGACCAAGGACAAATGATACTCATGAGAACCCACTTGGAGGCTCAGGGAGGATCAGGTATTCATTGCTCCAGATTCTGTAAGCTTTACTCCCAAATTAAGTAAAACCTAAACCGGCCAAATTGGTCACCTTCTCCACTTTAGTCACATGCAGAGTACCTCTGCGCTCTCTCAGAAAGGTTTAGAAGAACACTTCTCAGTATACCGCTACCACCACCTATCTAAAAAGTATCACTAGCAAATTTCTTTCAGAATATGGGTTGAAGAGAAAATGTTCTCAGCTAGTATTCCTGCCTTCATTGCATATTGAGAATTATACAATAATTGATAACTACCCACTCGTCTTGATTGCTAGGAAGCTTGTAAGTTCTAGAATAATTTTGTTTTCCTTAGTACTTTGGTTTTGCTCTTTCTTATGTACCACTAGATTTACATCTTGCTGTGCATTACCATTTAACAACAACCTGCTTCAAAACCTTTTATAGTAGTTGAGGTTTAACTAGGATTCATTTGCTTTTATGAAAAAAAAAATGTTGAGGGAATAAAACATCACCTTGGCTCACTGCATCCCTGAAGCTGGTGAATGATTAGAATAAATAATTATTAATTCTGACTTTCCAAATCTCTAATGCATTTCTAATCATATAAAGGGGATAATATATACATTTTCCAAAAATGCAAAAAAAAAAAGCTTTTCAGAGGGTTTCCAAATCAAATAATTTAAAGGAATAAAAATTAAAAAATTCAAAGGAAAACAGAAAACTGCAAAGCCCGTTTGCTTGTTTTGCATTCTGGGTCAGTCAGGAGAGTATGCTAAAGGAGAGGGAAGCAATACAATCATTAAACATACAATAACTCCTGGAAAAACAGATGTCAGGATTGAATATAAAGAATACGTGTGAAGCAAACCAGCTCATACTGAAGCGCAAGACATCAGGTGACAGTGTCTTCCCTCCTGACCCACGTTCGCTGGCTCTCAAGTCCCCACCTCTGTGAGGAGCCACTTGCTTGACTGACACATGGTTTATTTCCCAGCCTTGTCCCAGAGTCACCCTATTCACACCTAATCTGCAGGGGTGACCGAGTGCCCCCACCCTGTGTGGTACTCACATTAGGCTGGGGCGGTGCCACTGCGTGGTCCGGTTGTTGTGATTGACATAGTAAGTACGTCCCAGGTTGTCCACCTTCTCTTCCCACCCTGGGGGCAAAGGGGGAGGGGGAAGCTCCTCCTGGTGCTGGGAAGCCGAGTCGTTGGAGTCGACAACTTCCCACCCATGCTGTGGAACAAAATTCAATGAAGATTATGAGGTTATTTCTTCAGACGGTGGGGAAGAGCCAGTGTTCTGTGACCTCCTGCCTTGCTCTGCCATGCCCTGGTTCTTGCAATGGCTTCATGTATCACATTTGGATGAATTTCAAAAAAACAAAAAATTAAAAAATAAATGTTAAGTCTCAAAATCTTTTGAGCAGTGGTCTGACTCATGCTGCCCGCCAAGAGGACTCCACTGCAGGGAGCCACACAGGTTGGGATACGCAGTCTGGGAAGTCACTTAAGTCACATTATACCCCTGTCATGTTTCCTGTTTGTTATTCTGACCTGAAGAACAGGGCTGTAGGAAGCCCATGACCATGGGCCGTGTTACAGCTGACATCCACTGGACACCTCCTGAGGGTAAAGGTGAGCCATAAACCCAAAGTTATCACAGAAAGCATGCCCCGGGGGATCGGAAAGCCCAGGGCTCTGATGGTCCCTGGAGGATGGCCCCGAGGCCAGCATGGAGAGGGAGGGAAGTCTCTGCCCTGGTCAGCTCTAATCCCAGGAGCCAGAAGAAGTCTAGAAGGGCTGCTGCAGCCTCCTCAGGCTCTGGACACAAACAGGCTTCGTGGTACCAGGGCGAGAGTGACATTTTCACCACGCATACTTTAGGCATTAAGTATTGCTTTCCTAACATCCCCTAGTAAAGTCACTGGAAAATTAAGTAATTCACTGGTTACTGCAGTTGGAAGGCGAGAAGAGTGTAAAAAAATTCCTTGGATTTGAAATAAAAATCTGTTGCTGCGCTGACGAAACATCAGCCTCCACCGTGGCCTGCCACCCACTGCAGTCCTCTCCACGTGTGGGAGCTGCGAAGCCAGCAGCCAGTGCCACCTGCGAACACGGCTTGGTACTGGTAGGGGGTTGGTCAGCGTGCCCACAACACATTATTCACGAATCGTGTATATGTGACAGCTGCAAACAGATGTGGAGACAGCCTCCGAGAGGCCTGTTCAATGGGCACTTGCAGAACAATGAGAGTGTGTCCAAGGAAACAGCACTGTCTGAGGCGTGTGAAGAGAAGGCACAAGGGGACCCCTGGCACAGGTATGTGACCAGAAAGCTGAGAGGCCACGATGCCAGGAGGGCAAAAAAGTAAATTGCTCTGGACAACTAATTTCAAAATGGTATTTCCAGAGGAGAGCTCTTCTAATGCAGGCTATCACCTGTGGGTCAAATGAATAAGAAATGGAGAGAGACCTTCCGAGTCACCTTAGCCCCCTCTGAGGCAGCTTCAGGTACAACAAGGAATTTAGGGAGAGCCGAGAGCCCAAAGCAACAGCCGCCCTGGCGAGTGAGGGGAGTCTTGGGGCAGAGGGCTGTCCACAGAGTATTCTACACCGTCTAAGGACCCACTGTCCAGTTAGTGTCGTAGGAGAAAAAAAGCTCAACTTTACTAAAATACACTGGTAGACCACCACAAATGTATCTGGGGACATTAAGTGTTCTCATATTTAACTTCATAAACTTCTCTCCTCTTTCAATGACAAAGCCTCGCAGTGGAATGTCAGGGCACTGAGCCAGGAAGGCAGGCCAGGGCCTGCGGCTCCCTGCATACCTCCATGTCGTCCGTCTGCTCACTGTTCTCGTCATCTTGACCTCCGTTCTTCGGCATGTAGGCCATTTTCAGCCGCAAAAATCCCTTCACTCGCGATTTATGACTGCGTAAAGGGAGAAAATTGGTCATAAAGGATATGGCTTGCTTACGTCCTTCCTGCTTACAGGGACTGCTGAAATTGTCCCAAGAAACCAGTGCCTGAAGCCAGCAGGACAGCACCCCGCCACATCCACCCCAAACCTCACCTTCTTGGGCGGAGAAGAAAATCCTTAAATGTATAGGGTCGCTCCATGGTTGGATCTTCTGTCTGTGAGAAGAAAAAGTAAGTTAGGCTTCCATGCTCCTGACAGTTTTGTGTTTTGGAGACAGAAGTCTGGGTTCTAGAGAATACGTTTTCATACTTTAGAACACGGCCAAGGTGAAAGGAAGCTGGTTCCTCCATTGGTACTAGATGATTGATTAAGCATTTGATAGGACACACGAGGTTTTGTCTACTTAAGATCCACTAGATGTCACTATCCACATTGGGTTTTAGGAGGCAACCCCTGCCACAGACAAATGACAAAATTATAGCCGTTGCTGCCAAGTGTAATTTCTAACTGCAGGGTGCGGCCACAATCTCAGGGAGTGGATCAGCTTCAGAGAACCAAGGGTCACTGGTGTCTTATTTTCCCTTGTGACTCAAGAAATCTAAATGTAGAGGCCTCAAGACCTAATTTTTGAAGGCAACTTTATTTCTTGCATTAAAACATCATGTCATTAGCCTAAGAGAATTGACAGATTTATCTCCAGCACAGAAACCAACGAGTGCTACCATCTGATCCTCTCCTGGGACTTACTTTTCAAAGCTAGGAGCTTTAAAACGAGATGAAATCTGTTCATATGAAAAGAAGTCAGTATTCACTTTATTGTACGAAGTTGTCTGTCCTAATGAAGCAGGACATTGGGAAACATAAGTGTTACTATTATTTTAAAAGATTTTAAAATACATTTCTAGTTGGAGATGGACACAACACCTTTGTTTATTTTATGTGGTGCTGAGGATTGAACCCAGTGCCTCACACGTGCTAGGCAAGCGCTCTGCCACTGAGATACAGCCCTAGCCCTGCTAATTATTTAAAAAAATACTACACTTCTAAAACCTCAAATATCTAGACCCTTCAATTAAATGCAATTTAAAATACTTTTATAGCAAGAGACAAACCAGAGTACAATGATTTAGTATACAAAGGATGTGTATGTGCAAACTATTATATTTGAAATGGTATTAGCTGACGTCATTCCTTGCTTTAACCTCTCAATATCTTCCTATTTGTCTCGTAATAAAATTAAAATTCCCTCCTATGACCTACAAGGTATATAACTGGGTTTTTAATTACCTTTATCCTCATTATGAACCAGTCTTCCTGACCACTCCTCATACTCCAACCATCCTGGCCTCATCTGTCATCTGTGCCAATCACATCTAATCCTGCTGTAGTAGGACCCAGCCCCTGGCAGGTCTTTCTGCTGGACAGCTGACTCCAGATGGCCTGGCTGTCTCCATCTGCCACCTCACTCCCAGAGCCCTCATCTTAAACTGTCACTATGGAGCCTACCTCGTCTTCCTCTATTGTTCCGCTCTCCTTTATCTTCCCCTATCGCTATCTGAAATTATCCTGTACTCGTTTATTGACGAGTTTATCATCCACCTCTTCTAGGATGTAAGCCCATGAGATCAGAGACTTGAATGTGCTCACCCTGGATTGCTGGTGCCAAGAGCATTGCTTGGAGCTCAGCAGGCAGAGATATAAGTCCATTTGCTCTATCAAAACCACTGAGGCCCTGAAATTCTAGTGTATCATTGATCAAAGTCAATTATATTCTCTAGTCTGTTCTTAGTTAAGATAGTAAATCGAAATCAGACATTTTGGGAACATTTTCTACAAAAAAAAAAAAAAGTTAAATATACATTACCCATAATGGAACATTCAGTAATCAAGAATTCTACTTCTGGTATTCCTTCATTTTTTCATTTATTCAAGCAACAAACACTTCTAGAGCAGTGATGGGTGGCTATGACACAGTCCTGGCCTGGGGGTTCAGCTGCATGGGCGGGGCCGTCACAGTGCATGGGGCTCTGTGGCTCCACACATCCACTGACATGGGGCCGCTACAATCTCTAAGACTTAGGGTGGAGGGAAAAGACTGGCTCTGACTTGGAGATGGAAATGGTTTTGGGGTGAGTGGGCAGGTTGTGGCAGGTGGAGAAGTGGGAGGAAGAACAGCACAACCTCGGGGAACTCACAGCATGAGCACAGCTTACAGGATCTTAGCACAAGGACCCGGGAATAGAGGAGAGAGCAAGGGAGTGAGCGGGGAAGAGCAGCACTCAGCAGACTCAGAAGTGAATCTGTGCACACACCATGTAGTTCAAACACCAGCACCTCACAGATCGAGCGGTCTGTGCCCTGGCTTTGTGTGGCCCAGAGGGTCCTTACCTCTCTGTGCTCCAATGTCCTCATCTACAAAATGAATCAGGGACTGGATATTAAGAGAGTTGTTGGGAAGGTTAAGTCGGTTAGTTGTAGTGGCTTACCACAGTCCTAAGGTGCCTACCACACCTAACAAGCTTGGCCATTATTGCCATGAGTCAGTTCTACATTTTCATGTCACAGGAGTATCGCCAACTCAATGCTGGGCAACAGGAGGCAGGGCACTAAAGATGAAAATGAAATTCTCCAGCCTGAACAGGATGGTAACCATGTAGATAACTACATGCATTTATCCAGGTCACAACCTGCTCATGCTCCCTGGAGAGAGCCAGGTGGGGATCCCAGGAGGGTACCAAGGATGCTCCTAGTGAGAAGCCATCACAAATAGATGCAAATTCAAAAGAATATACCCTGCTGTCATCCTAAAGAGGACAGTTGCTTTAGCAAAAGTACAGTCACTATGACACATGGTGAGTTAAATTATTTTTGCAGGCAAATGGACAGGGGGAGGGTCTCCTAGGTCTTCAAACTCAAAATCTGCCTGCAACCACCAGAAGCTCCCAAGCTTCAGGCTACTCCTGTCCCCCACACCCTTGACTGTGCCTAGGCACACTGATGCTGGGGTGGGGTCCAGCACTATGAACAACCTGCCAATTGTTGGACAGGTAATCTCTCTCCCTGGTCTTAAGTTTCCTCATCTGGAAAATATACTTGGGAATACATAAATACCCTTCAACTCCCTCTACATTCCATGACACTGGATTCTGCACACAAGAGAAGGATCAGTTGCCACGAGCTGTAAATAGAAAAGGGGTGAAAGAATGTTGACCACCTTGGCCACCCTCAAGTACTAAGCAGCAGCTAGGGCAGCACCCTGAAAATGCTTTTTACTTTGGGAGGAGCTAAAGGTCAGAAGTTAGCCGTAGCTGCACCAAGCAGCACTTGACTGAGGTGGGAGACGGGAACATTCTAACAAGAGCACTCTGCCCCCGGGCACTGCCCACAGAGGTGGGGTTTTTGGCTGGGCAGAGGTGGGAGTGCTGGGGTCTCTAAAGGCAAGGGAGCTACAACTGAGCAAGAAGAAAAAGCTCAGAAGCACAGTAAGAAAACCCCATCAGAATTTCATTCTATTGTTAATACAAGCCCCAGAGTTATTTTTATCCCTAAATAATTGGTAGATACGACTAATCAAATACTCTATGAACTTTTAAGTAATTATGCACTGAATTTAGCAAACAAATGTGAAAGCGCAGTTTAAAACAATCAACAAACACGTACAGTTACAGCTATCTAGGTTTGCTCGGGTGCCCAGAGTAGGAAACAAGAGATACTGCATTTAAGCTGCAGGCGACAGGACCTGCAGGCACAGCCTTCCATTTCTGCTGCTGCCAGCATCTCCTAGGTAACACGCATGTCATCCCAGGCACCAATGCCTCTGCTTAGGAGCACTGGACCAGCTCTGGGGCTCTGTCACAGAGCTGGATGGAAACTTGGTCTCATCTGTGCATGCACCCTCGTTCTATAGAAAGCACCCTCATTCTAGGAAGACATACTATCTTGGTTAAGGTTAATAGGCAACTCGCCCATCTCCCACATAGCAGTCAATAAAGCCTGCAGAGCCCTCTTCTAAACCTGACCTTTGGAGACTTCTTAGAGTAAGTCTTCAGGTTTCCTTAATTCTCTGACCTACATAAAGGGTCAGCCTACCAATCCTATTTGCCCTCCCCTGGCTCCCCCTTCTTTCACTCCTCGCCTTGATATGAAATAAAACGGAAAAGAGGTATTAAAGATGAGCCGTTAATCTGGAATAAAGCAAGGGAAAGAGGTGAATCCTATTTCCTATCTACTTTTCCCACAAATAAAACAGGATGATTGAGTCTCACAACCACACATGAAAGTGAACCACAATTCCAAAATTTTCTTCCTGCATCTGGAAGTATCTGGTAAGAACCAAGCATGGGGGAATCCATGATCGGAGGGGGAAAAGGCAGCTGAGAATGGAGGCAGTGTGTTTCTACCATGTGGAACCCAGGCTTCCACTACCTCCCTGCCCACCTCTTGGTTCCCAGCTCCCTCTTCCCTTCCCCTCTGCTCTGCCAAGTGGCAACTTGGACTTGCACCGATGGCTCACAGGCCCAGCAGGACCCTTAATTAACCCAGGTACCCAGCTCCTGGCAGCGGGCCGTGGAGGAGCACGTGGGTCAGCTCCACAATGCTGAAGAGCCTGTTCGCCTGTAGGCCTCCACCCAGGAGCTGCTGTTAGGTGAGCCCAGCAAGGGAGGCTAAGCAAACCCTCTGGTCTGCCTGGGAGGCATCTCTAGGACAGGAAATTCATGACTGCACATGGGGACTCTGGAAGAGCCACGCCTCAGAACCTGAAAGCGAGTTTTTACATTGTAAACACCAATATCCACTGGCAACCACAGCGACAGGCCTCTAGATTAACAAGGAAGAGTTCGTCAACCACCATCAGTTATGTGGCTCCAAGATGTCCTTTTCCAAATCACACACAAAACATAAAACAGAATATTCAAATTATCAAAAACAATTTCCTAACAATCATGAGAGTCCACCCCAAACCCACTTTCCTGTCTTGACCCTTGCTTGTCCCATTCCTGGTTTAGATGAGGGGTCTCACTGAGGGCTGGCAACATCTGTAGGCAGAAGCAAGCAAGGCAGAGACAAGCAGCTTGGGAGGCTGGGGAAGGAGGATCACAACTTCAAAGCCAGCCTCAGCAGAAAGGCGCTAAGCAACTCAGTGAAACCCTCTAAATAAAATACAAAATAGGGCTGGGGTATGGCTCAGTGGTTGAGTGCCCCCAAGTTCAATCCCTGGCACCCCCTTCCCCCTCAAAAAAGAGAAGGGCTTATAATTTCTTGGGCAACAAGACAAGGCCTCATTCCAGGCTTGAAATGCCTTAAAATAAATAAGTGAATAACACGTCAGCATGAAGGAACAGGCAGTAATACAGATCTGGAAAACATCCAAAATGCAAAGCCCTTCCTTATCTAAGTTAAATGTATTTAGTATGGTACATACGTAGAATTGGAGAGAGACAGCCTCAGGTGAGGGAAAAGAAATGAAAACTCCCACCTGTGGTGCCCCGGTAGTGAGAACTCTTATCTGAGGAAAGAAGAATCTAGAATCAGGCACTTTTGACCTAAGTCAGGGATCTCAGGTTTGATTTTCCCATGTGCCATTCCATGGGGCAGCCCACTTGCCACGTATGGCTCCTGAAGCTTAAATCTTGATTAAAATGAAGTAGAATTATAAATTCAGCTCCCAGGCACAGCCACATTTCAAATGCTGAACTCGCAGGTGTGGCTCCTGTAATGCAGGCACCTGGCCACACCACAGAGGAACTTGTTTCACTGAACCATCCTCAAAAACTATGTCCTATCTATACATGGATATTTGTTGAAGGAGTGAATTCTCCAGCAGAGAGTGGGGGGGCCATACCAAATCAATCCTTAGTCCTACACCCAGGTTCCTTACTCCCTGAAAAGGACTGGGTGAGCTGGCAGGGGCCACTGGACCACCATGTCCTTGTTTCCAATAGCTTCCTTCTGGACTGATAAGACAGCTGGAGCACTTTTTTAGATTGATATTTTCTTTTATCCAAACCTTGGTCCTTCTGACAAATATTGAATCTATGGGTCATAGATGATCTTTTTTGACAATGCTTATGGAGCCACCAAGAAGAGAGCAGACATTATTCATTCCTAAAACAGACTCCAATGCTAGTTTCCATGTTACACACACCCGAGCATTATCAGATTCAATTAATGACACTCTGCAATTTTTCCCTAAGTATGCTTCACGTATGATCAAGTACGTACAGGAAAGCACCTCAAATCCTGGGACCAGAAGCCTTGCCCTTTCAGAATATGCTACTTGGGATCCATGACCACAAGGAAGATAAAGAACGTAACCTGAGTCCTCTCTTGTGGTCTTTGTGGTTCATTCCCCTGAATGGAGTTGGCTCAAAAAGCTAGTTACCCTGGAGTATGGGGAGGATGGAGGTCGGCGGCAGGCTGCTCTTCGGGCACATGCATAACTAGGAGGATCCATCATTCCATCCACATAGCTCATGTTGGAGTACACATCCACTCCAGGGGCTCATTGTCCCACCCTCTTTAATCTGGTATCAATTCTCCCCTGAGCCTCATATGGCTTTCTTCTTTGAAAGCTCACACTAAGAATGCTGTAAGCCCCCAACGGGTCAACACTAGCTAAGACACACAGCAGGTGGGCAATGCAGAGACTCGGGGAAATGAACATCAGGGGAGACCCACCATTCGGAATCCCAAGGTGAAGTCTACTCCCTTTGCCGACTTGGTCTCTTGAAGAGAAACATTCTTCTGTTCTCTGGAAGCTATGGCCCAACCTTTCAAAACCAACCACCAGCGAATCACTCAAACAGGGCTTAATGGCACATGGTTAAATACTTAACTTATGCCTCTTATAAGCATCTTAGCCAGGGTGAGGTTTGTTACTTTAGGGAAAGGGCACTTGGGGGCACCCAAAGAACCAACCAAACACCACTGTTTAAAATCATGACACGATTATAGCTTCATCTGAAGAGTGCGAGTAGAAACCCAGAGATGCAGGAATGCAGAGTCTTTCCTCACAACACACGAGACATTCATATCCTCTCAATGTGAACCAATGAAAATAATTATACATATATATTTGATGACTTAGGAATTGGTCTCATGGAGAAAACCTCCCCCCTCCCCTCTCACACACACACCCCTTCCTGAGGCACCTTGGAGCTTCAGGTTTTTAAGTAGAAACAAAAAATATTGCAATGCTATCACTTCTGCTCCCGTCCTCGGGGAGGGAAGGCATTTGAACCCTTTCTCCCATAATAGGTTCCGTGAGTGAGCAAGAGTCAACTGCTTGCTAGCACATTCCTTCCCAACATCTCCTCACAGCTTCCTCAGGAAGATCCAGCCTTGGCATTTGACGTACAGGAACGGCCCCAGTCTGCACACAGCGGGAGGCTTGCGCTAGGTGGGTTAAGTCATTATAGTTTATGGACTATTTATGCTACGAGCTCAAAGCACTGAGAAAACACAGCACCCTTGTAAGGCAGAAATATTTGACTCTCTTCTCACAGCTCCTACTTATGTTACTTTGTGCTGCCCAGGGAAAGAAGGCCAGGAGGAGATGGAACAATCTGGAAAGCTGAAGTCGAATATGGAATATCTACCTCCACCAGGTCTGATCCCACACTGTATCTTCTGCCTTGGGGGTTGCAGGCGACACCCCCAAAAGCAGTTATAGCCACAGCCTCAACTGTTTTGCCAATCTGAGCACAGAGGAAAGCCAGTGGCCACACATGTGGTAGCGCGGTGCACTTTCTAATGCTAAGGCAGGGTTTCCAGGGGTCAGGCCGCTCAGAATCTGTCTCCATGCCAACTAAGAAAACTGTAAGCCCAACTGGGTAAACACAGCTAAGACACACAGCAGGTAGACTTCCAGACTCAGAGAAATGAATAGCAGCAGAGACCAAAGGGTGGATCTGGGAGCAAAGATACCAAGTAACAGGAAGAGGGGCTTGACATAAGGAGATGTCCCTTCTGTGAGGCACAAAGGTAGAGGAGTTAAAGAGCAGAAGAGAGTTGGAGCTGGGGAGGCTGACCCGAGTGCTCATGTGACTCAGACACACGGGATCTCACAACTAAGAGAGCCTCTGTCCATCCCGTCACAGGGCCCACCTTCTAACCAGGAAGAGGGCGCGGCTGTGGCCTCTCAGTGGTGGCGAGGGATGCCCCTCTGCAACACACCAGCTGGAAGCAATTAGGAGCCTCTACCCTCAGCATGCAACACAGACACATAGCTGTCCTTACCGGAAGGTGATTAAGGGGCACGTCCACCTGGCCCAGGAAGTCGTCTCGTGTCTGTAAAGAAGAGAGCAAGCGGTTAATGCTGCCAGTTATTCAATGAATGTCAATAAAACATTCTTTAAAAAAAAAAGTTTCATTGTAAAAAGAGACAGAGGTTCAGAGCCCGACCCTGAATGCGGTGGGGACTGAAGGCAGAGGGCCAAGGTGAGGCACAGAGAGCAGTCACCAGGAGTCCCGAGAGCAGAAAACACTGTGCATCTCGTCTTCGGCTGTCTGAGACATTGGTTGGCATTTACTACCAAACAGGATGTTAAGGAATCATCTGTCAGGGTTGTGAGCTTGTGGGCACTCAGGGACATGAACATGGAAGGCCACTGAGCCGTTGGGAGTAGAGCTGGGCCCATTTTAAAAGGAAGGTAGTACAGAGATGCTGGGAACATTTTAACAACTATTTATTTATCCTGCACCATAAACCCAGGGCTTCCTGAGAGCTTAGTGTCTAGGGAAAGAGTACATAGCTTAGTTATGAATAAATCTTATGAACCACAGATCCTAAAAGATGAACGCCATTTCAATCCAGTAAGTACACTGCTTGAAAATTTGGGGATCAAGTCCTATAATTTTTGAACATGCCAAACCCCTCCCTCTCTCATCCACCACACGGCATGCTCATTCCTGACTTACATGGGACCCAGGTAGAATTCATTAGGAGATACACGTTGGACCTCTTTCAGGCTCTGGGAATGACCTGGGAAGTCATAACTCAGGTTCATGAGTCTCTGGCCTGGACTACAGGGCATCTCACAGCTGTGTCCACACCAGGTCTCACATTACAAGGTTTACAGAGTGGCCTCTGGTGTTCAGATGACCAGAGGTGCAAATCAGGACTCCTGCCACTCATAGAAATATGTAGCATACTGAAACATACACTCAAAATGCATAAGAGCTGGAGAGTTCCTCACATGTCATCAAACCCATTCCACAGCTAGTTGAGGAAAAGCCAAAGGAGAGCCCAGCTTGCCTCACTCTGAATCCCGGGTCGTTACTTTCACTCTGCTGATTTACTCAGAAATATTCTAATTTGCAGAAACTACTTTCCAACTCTACTTGAAAACAACATTCTCTTCTTTCACTTAGTGGAGCAGTAGGTAAATATAAACAAGATCTTTTGAAATGATTTGCTCCAGGCTTAAGAATTTCCTTTTAGATAGTTAAAAAAAATTTTGATTAACTGGGAAGCCCATCTCTGCTCTAAACGATGCATGAAGGATAATGAGAAATCAAAGTCAGAGCTGATGGGGTGCTCCTGAAGAATGAGATGAGCTCCTGAGCTCTTTCAGAACTTTTCTCAGTTCTCTCTGCCTCAACCCACCATGGGGAGGCCTCCTCTAACAGAAGACTACAAGGGAGGCGCCCATCAGTTCCTTACATTTTACCGAGAGCAGCAGTCAGCAGAAAGCCTGGAAAACAACAGCTTTGCTCCCCAGGGACTCAGGCCAGGGTTAGTCCTCCGTTGGGCTGGTTTCATTATAGTTTTAAAACTGGTATAAATGTCAGTACCATCATACAAGAAATGGAAATTTGTTGCCTATTGGCCATAAGTTGTGTGTCTACCTAATATGAGCGACGGGTACTGTCACCACCCCACCAATCCTCCTCTTCCTCCCCTAGTCACTGCTGATGTAGGAAGTCACAGAATGTGACTGATCATCAGAAGACAGTATCATTAAAGCTACTCATGAGTCATGAACCTAAGTGCATTTTTTCCCCCCGAAGTGCGTTTCAGCAAAAATTCACAAAACATCTAGGTGCCATGTTGCTTTACTAGGGAGATGTCTGGGTTCTAAACTGATAACGTGAGTTAAGCTCTGCCAGACACCTAAAAAGAGGAGGCCGACACTGATGGTGCAGCAGCAAACCCTGCCAGAGTGCTCACCCTACTCAAAGCTCCGTGCCAAAGCTGTGGCGCATCCTGGAGCAGCCCAGGAGGCAGGCACCATTATCTCACCCGTTTTATAGACAGGAAAGCTCAATGGTGAGTGACCTGCCAAGTTCCCGACAGGCTGGCTCCCAGGCTGCTCTTAACCCACACTCTGCCCATCTCAGTGAGTGGCAAGAGAGCAAGGCGAGTACTGGCCCTGGGCTTCTCCCCGAATGCTGGCTTTCAAGGGTGAGGAAGGGGAACTCGGATGACAGCAGTCTCCTGCAACTTTAGGAGGTTCCATTACAGAGATTTCTGGGTATATGGTCTCTCACTCCACCAGCTCCTTTTCTCCAATGAAACAGTTTGCCGAATTCCCCGAGGTTCTGTGAGGCTGGGAAACCCGCTCCTGCCTTATTAAATTTCCTTGTCACATTGGAAAAACAATTTCTAACACAGTCAGAGATAAAGGAACCTCCCCACCAAAGGGAGGAGAAGGCTGTTATTTACATCAAGGAAGATGGAAATAAAATTAAATAGTTTATTTAAGAAATAATTATTATTTATTAAATTATTATTTTTTAAAAATAAAACAGGAAATCAAGGCCCAAATAATGCCGGCTCAAAATGAATGGGGTTAAAGCAACATTCCACCATTCAATGGAAGATGCATTTGGCCAAGAGGCATAGGTTTCAAAACATCCTTTTGCTGCCAAAACTGGAGAAAGTTTAGGAAATAAAGTGTTTAGGCTAAAGGCATGACGTGAATTCTTACAAACGGCTTCAACACTGCAGAAGAGCTGTCGTGGGATGAGGGAGGACGAGCAGCTCTCCTGGAGGACTTGTCATGAGAGGATGTGCAGGAGTGTGGCAGCGGGAGGATACCTCTGACACCTCTGTGTGATGGTCAGCTGTCAGGGATGGCATGACAGGCAGAGGGTTCTGACTGGGGCTCTGAAGAGACAACATCTAAGGCCCTCACAACTGTCTTAGGATGTCACTTACCAGAGTGTGACGTTTTATACCAATGTTATAAAAAACAGATAAATTTTTAGTCGTTAGTATTATAAAATTGTTTCCAAACATCATGTTAACTATGAGAAGCTACAAATTAACTTGTGAAGTGAATACTGGCATTTCTTGTGGTGATTTTAAAGTGATAAGACACTGAATTTCAGCCTCCACTACCTGCCATCCTGTCCTCCAGGGTGAAAACACTGCAGGCTAGTAACACAATTATACAGGTTCCCTTCTGCTGAGCCATCGGATTACTTTTCCAATTTAATGACCATGTCCAGTGGCGCTCCTGACATGTGTCACGTAAGGTGAAACAAAAATCCATGTTCCATTAATGAAAAAGTGAAACACACACACACAAATCAAGCAGTGTCTCTTGGAGTTTGCTCACTACACACTGATGGACTATGTGCAGGCCCACTCCTCCCCACTTCAAAACCAATGATTCTCTTAAGTCAGAAGGAAGGACAGCAGGGTGTGCACGTCATGCAGAGGTGTGCTGCCGCTGTATGTGAAGGCCAGAGGCCCTGGGACCAGGACTAGCACCACAGTTCCCAGGTAGCTCCTGGGCTCTTCCCCAGACTCCCCAGCGAGCACTAGTCAGAGCCACCAGCTGTGAAGTGGACACCAGGCTTATCTGTCCTCACACCTCACATGTGACCCAACTTCTCAACACACCCATCAGAAGGACCACAGAGTCTCTGATCTTTGGGTCAGAGCTGGGCTTGAAGGATGGAAGGCCAAAGTCATCACACACCAGGACTTCATTACCCGGATCCTTCCAGCACAGGCCATGGCAACAGCAGCAAGGCCAGGCATGGTGTGAACTTCCCACTGAAGCCAAGAAGTAGGGAAGGGGGCTGTGGAGGGAGAAAAGTACCAGCCACTAGGATGGTGGCCCACAATCACACTGGGGCTGCAGGGCTCCTTAGGCAAAGCGTATCAAAAAGTATGGGCAATTCTTGGGGAAAATGACCCATGAAGTACTACAGCTATGGATCAAGGCAGTGTTGGGGTTCTTTTTCCCCCCTCCTGTACCAGGGATTGAACCCAGTGGCATTTTACCACTGAGTCACATCCCTATCCCATTTTTTATTTTGGGACAGGGTCTTGCTATGCTGCTAGGGTTGTCCTTGAACTTGCGATCCTCCTACCTCAGCCTCCTAAATTGCAGGGATTACAGGCATGAGCCACCATACCTAGTGGGGAACTGTTTTTGAAGCTGTAAGCTGCAACCCCACAAGTGGTTTACAAAAAAGTATTTTTTTCTTTTTACTGTTGTTGGCCCTGGGTTCCATTCCCTTGTGCATGCTAGGCTAGCACTCAGCCACAGAGCTATATCCCCAGCCCCTATTTTTAAAAATAAAGTATAAAAGAACAGAAAAATATCAATGCCTTAACATGAAATACAAGTACTATTTTGAAAACCTTATTTCAGTTACACACATACAAAAATGTGTGTGCTAAGAACTGATCCAGAATGAATCTTTTTTTGTGTGTCCTATCATCAAAACAATCTGAGGGCCACTCAGCTACAAAAAATAAAAGCCACCTAGAACAACCGATTGCCTAAAGTTTTACCCTGGAAATCACATAGTGACTTGCTAGATCAGAATTTCTTAAGAAAAATGGAAGAAAACTACACAGAATTTACAACATAATCTACAGAATCAGCATTTAGAGTAACGACAGTATAGTTCCTTTTCTTTAATGTCACACATCAAGGTAGACATCACAATTGCCTCTGACACAAAGCCAGAATCATGGCACCTGCCTTCCTGCCCAGCTCCAGTGCTCAAGACCACCTCTGCCTGCAGCCTCCTCCTGCAGCACAGGGCTCTGCAGGCGGGGCACAGGTACGTTTTTGGAGTGACTTAGGAAGCATGTGCATTCTGAATTATCTAAGCCATGACGGCTTAAGTAACTTTCACAGAAGACAAACCAAAGGCTAAAAATACATCGTCTCTTTAGCGGTTGTGGCATGGGAAGTACCTAAGTGGCACAGACGATTCCTCCTAGACCCTCATCCCTCAGTAAAGTGAGACGAGCATTCTCATCACAGAGAAAAGGAAAGAGAACCCTCGTCCGTCTCTCCCTCTGCTCAACAGGCAGACAC